AACTTTTCCACAACATTCTAATTTATTGAGATGCACCTGTATATGAAAAATTAAATGAAATCATTTTGAGACCTAAAGTTCTTTTATAAATAGTTTGCTCACCTGACTATTTTAATATGAAAGTCATGCTCCGATATAGCCTTCCATGATCCGGACAGAAAGTCACGGCACCAGCTGAACGCCCTCCTCCTAGTCTCCGGGTCCACATCCACGTTACGGCCGTCCTGATGGGACTCCGCTTCAGAATCATCTTCTCCGTTCACACCGCGGGGACTGGCAGATCTCAGATGTCTCTCCTCGGCCGCCATCAGTGAGTCTCCGCCAGCAGGTCTGACTGAATCCGCGTCATCCGCGACGCATCTGCCTACACTTCCAGCTCCATCACTCATGCACTTCACTGTCTGGCTGGAATTCATGATCTTACACGCTAGAAATCCAATGCTCCTTAAAGAGAGTGAGAGAACCGAACCGCTATAAGTAATGACACCTATCCGCCCCAGAAGCAGCATTAATTGAACGTGAATAAACGCACATGCACCACTATCACGAGCGCACAATGAAACGTCTAATCGCTCGCGATAACAGAACAGAACTTTACATTAAATACGCAGACGTATTAACAAACTGTAAAGGCTGTTAATTAAACATCTTCCCACTTCAACTTCCACTACTTCCTTGTGAAGTAACCGCTAGCTTTGTCACTGCGCAGACAGTGCAGAGTGACTTAAGAAGATTGACGTTTATTTTAACCAATCAGATTTGGATAGCTCGGCACACAACGCATTTCTAGTACCGCCCCTTAAAGTCAGAGCGCTGATTGGTCAGTTCCATTACGACTACAATGAGTATTGGGAAGTGTAGTTAGGTTAGCACTGAAAAGTAAAATGTTACAGTAAAAAGTTAATTGAAGTAACTTGACGGTAAAATCACATTTATAATATAGAATATATAATTTCACTCTAAATATAATAAATATTAAAATGTGTTTTTAGATGAAGAATAAAATTATGATTTACCTTATTATTGAAAACACTTTTAAAGTGTACATTTTGTATTTATTTTTAAATGATTTATTACAGTGGAGTTTTATATTGTGTTATATTGTGGACTGTTTAGTAATGTGTATAGAAATATTTTAATGTAATGTGTATTAGTGTGATAGCTCTGTTATTGATGATAACAGTTAGGAGGAAAATATAGACAGGCAGACAGACGGATAGATCGATAGATAGATAGACAGACAGGCAGACGGATAGATAGATAGATAGATAGATAGATAGAAGACTAATTGGGGCAAAAATAAATCAGGAATTGGAGGAAAAAGTCAAATGAAAAACAAAAGTGAAAAAAGTAAAAATGTTTAAAGTGTGTGTTTCTTAAAACCAGCCTGGCTAATACTCTTAGATAACCTGCACATCTGAGTTATATTAGTGTAAAGATTAAATTCCATAGCGTTTTGTGATCAGATCTTACATAATTTACAGCTGGAATGTTAGTACTGTGGGGAGTACAGCATTGAGTCTCTCAAGCTCTCTCTGTCTTTCTCAATTCTCACACAAACACACATTCACGCTAACCTTAAAATCACTTTGTCAGCAAATATTTTGTCTGTACAGGAAACTCCACGTCCTAAAACGACCTTCATATTTGAATTGCAGCACACCATGTTCCCTGCATTACTCACTTCCACCACTGTGGGTTACTCTTGTTAGTAAGGCTTTCAGCACCGATCACTGAACAGCTCCTCTGTGGCAGAATAAGGGTTAATTATCCAACTGAATGATCTATGCTTTATGATTGTTACATAGACACCTGCTTATTGATATGAGCAAACATGCAGTGCTTGATAATTAACCTGTTTGTCTAGTTTGCCTTTTTTCCCCCCAGAGATGTCTTACATTGCACAATCTTTATATGACAGTAACTTATGCTATTCTCAGGCACTTTAAAGAACACATGCCCATGAAATCATGACATTTTCAAGCTACATTAGCCTATACATCCAAAAAAAATATAGGAGCACCATGGTACTTTCTAGTACTTGTGAGTGGTTATTTAATAAAAAGGAGAATTAATATAATTTTGTGCTTAAGCTTATAATTAGTCTCTTAAAGGGTTAGTTCACCCAAAAATTAAAATTAGCCTGTGTTTTACTCAGCCTCAAAGCATCCTAGGTGTATCTGACTTTCTTCTTTCAGTTGAATCCAATCGGAGTTATATTAAAAATTGTCCTGGCCCCTCCAAGCCTTTCAATGGGGGTCAGCGGGTGTTGGTTGTCAACAGTTCAGAAGAAGTGAAATAAAGTGCGTGCATCCATAATAAAACGTCCCTCACATGGCTCTGGGGGGTGAATAAAGGCCTCATGTAGCGAATCCATGCATTTTTGTAAGATATCCATATTTCAAACATAATAAACACTTTTTTTCTCACTTCCGCTGACTGTACGCGGATGACGTTCAGGCGGATGACGTAGTACGTATGCGTCGTGCTAGTGCCTCTGAGAAATGCAGGAGCAAAGGAAGCAAAGTTTCCTTACTCTAGCAAAGGAAAACCAGTCTCCTCATTTTTCTGACATTTTTTCTGACATTTTTCTTTACAAATCCTCGTTTTGTGCTTCTAATTCGCGAATGGCGTTTTGTTTTGCTTTGTCTCCGCATTCGTCACTAATCACGCAACGTCGATGTCTTACGTCATCCGCCGGAACGGCATGACAGTCAGCGGAAGTGAGAAAAAAGTGTTTATTACATTTGAAATATGGATATTTATCTTACAAAAATGCATGGATTCGCTAGAGGAGGCCATTATTCACTCCCCGGAGCCGTGCGAGGGACGTTTTATTATGGATGCACGCACTTTATTTCACTTCTTCTGAACTGTTGACAACCAAAACCCGCTTACCCCCATTGAAAGGCTTGGAGAGGCCAGGACAATTTTTAATATAACTCCGATTGGATTCGTCTGAAAGAAGAAGGTCACATACACCTAGGATGCGTTGAGGGTGAGTAAAACACAGGTTAATTTTCATTTTTGGGTGAACTAACCCTTTAAATACTGGCGTGTTATTACATAATTGGTTTTAGAGAACTGAAAGCACATAGTTGATATTGTGAGTGACTGTATTGACTGAACTGACATGTTTCGCCAGAGGGCACCGATTTCTTAGTGATATTGAACTGCAGTCTGTGTTCTGCCCACACGCAACATCGTGCTGCAAAATCTTACGTAGCTCTTTAACGGGATACGGAGGCCGATTATTGAGCAGTTAACTAGCTACTAACTGTTTTAAAAGAGAGACAAAAGGTTCATCCTCTAGATGGCGCTCGGCGGCTCAAAAAACAAATCCTCCATTGAGACGCATTTAAATCTCAAACGTTTTTGGAGATAAATACGTGTATAGGCTACTAAAAAAGTTTATTTTCTGACATACAAATGCATCCGCAGCAAACTTTATTATTAATTTATTAGCCTAACTGATACCACGTAATATCAGGTTTATCCCACAAAATATGGGCTTTTTGTACCTAACAAATATGTATAAACCTTAATGGCAGTTTTTCACCGAATTGCTCCTTTTGTCATCACTTTGAAGAAACAATTATCTAGGCTACTTATGATGGAAGTGTTTTGAACGGAGTTTTATAATTTTGCAGAAAGGATTTCCCCCAAAACTTCTGTAGCCTATATTAGCCAATATTTGTGATTTTCTGTGTCTCGTATTAAGTTTATTTAATTATTAATGATCTAATCACTATTCCGTGCAACATTTTACATTCATAAATGTACATGTTCGAAGAAATATTATATTGAAATATTTATTATACAGTAGGTATATTTGAGTTGTTTAACAACTCGAAATTCAAATGCTTGTTTTATGGCGTATATTTTCAGAATCTCATATATTGTAATTCTCTTAGAATATTTTGTTTATTATCTTTATCTTCATAAATGCCTTTTGCAAAAAAAAAAAAAAAAGTATAAGAATGTATAAATGTAGCCTATGGAAAAATGTATAAAAAACGACACCTGCTTTTACTGATTGTTTTTAATTAAACAACACATAAAACATTTGCTATTTATTCCCCAGGTTGTTAAAATTATGAGTATACAATCTATTAAGAAAAAAAACAGTGTCATAATTATCTGTTAAAAGGATGTAAATTCTTTAAATTTACTTTTCTTAAACTGAAAAAGACACTAATTTTGTGGAATAATCCCCTAATTTATATCTAAATAATGACACGGAGAAACTTTAATCGACATTTAATTCAATAAACAGTGAAGAGAGAGAAATTAAATAAATAAATAAAATTCGAATTAACCCATCAACCTGACCAATCAGAGACAGCCTCTTGACCTCTAAGCCACACCCACTTATAGCAACAGTTTAACGTTGATTGGCATTCTAGCCGCTCGTTCTATTTCTATGAGATCCATGCACGCGCCTCTGCCCCCCTCCTTCATCAGAATCAGCATCAGCATCATCATCACGCCAAACAGCGCACTGGTTCATCAGCAGGTGTGTGACTGAAACACAAGATTATCGATATCAATACATCGCCACCTATGTGCGTTCTTTATATCTGACTCTCATTTCTTTGGATCAGCGATTGGGCCGTTTTGTTGGTTTGATTCCCAGCGGGCGTCAGCAGTCAGTGTGGCCGAAAACGAGAGAGAATAAAGCGAGATCATATTTAATATCCGCTTCTCCAGCGTCTGTGGATGGGCTGCGGACATCTGCATCTGCAGTCTCTGTTTTTGAGTCACTAAGAAGATGGCGGACAGGGCAGAGATGTTTTCTCTCTCCACCTTCCACTCCCTCTCTCCTCCGGGATGCAGGTAAGAGACATTAATTCTCTCGAGTATGCGCGGGGTTTCCTTTTCTTCTGGCATTTTTATTATATATAAATAAGCTGGTCATATGTGACCATCTGCGCTGTTTCTGTATCTGTAATGTCCTCGAACACATTCAGAGATCAGCATCAGCATCATCAGCATCCGCAAGCAGTGATGCTCAGCATCCTTGTGTTGTTGATGTGGATCAACAATAACGCCCTTGTTATTGTTCCTTTTCTTTTTTCTTGTATTTTTTTTCTGGCACTGATTTAATGTGTATGTAAAACAATACACTTATGAAATTGAGTGAAGGACAGACGACTGATTTTTTCTTTCTTTCTTTTTTTCCCCCCTGGCATGTCATTGCTTGACGCATCCTCTCTGAGATAGTTGGCATATACTGGAAAGGCCCACGCCCTGTTGTGATGCTCATAACTGCATTTTAAATTTTGATCACACATTACAGTGTTCCCATAATTGTGTAATTATATAGTGCTGTGTAATACTAATGAACAGTAGGCCTACTTAAATGTGTTTGCGGAGCTGCTTGTAATTGCACATTATTATTGGTATTACTGTAATATTACAGTAACATCTAATGTGGTTATTGAATGTAAGTAGTTACCTCATTCTTTTATCATTTTGTACCATAATTTAAGTCCTACAATTAGCGAAAAATTGATAAAAAAAAAATAAAATGTTAAAGGGGTCATATGATGCGATTTCAATTTTTCCTTTCTCTTTGGAGTGTTACAAGCTCTTGGTGCATAAAGAAGATCTGTAAAGTTGCAAAGACTAAAGTCTCAAATCCAAAGAGATATTCTTTATAAAAGTTAAGAGTTAACCACGCCTACCTAAAATGGCTCGTTCTAACACGCCCCCACATGTCTATGTCACGATGTGGGAAGATTTGCATAACGCCGCCAAAATGTTCACGCAAAGAAAGAAGGCGTAACTTTTATTCTCGCTGTAATATTGTTGCCGCCGCCGCCATGTCGTGAAGGCGCTAAATAATTTTCTTTTTAGCAGCATCATATGACCCCTTTAAGATCGAGTTTTGATGTGCAGTGCATTATTGGCTAGTAGATTCTTGCCATGTGAATGTACCTAGTACAACTGAGTATTAGTCATTTAAATGGATGAATAGAATCATGTGACTTTCTGAAAACAGTATATTCTCAGTTCTATTTAACTGTAAAAATTGCAGTTGTTACTGTAAGGATCTATTTCCACCTGATCCAACCCTTAAAATGACTTTCATTGGTGTAACACAATAGTCAGGTCGAGATATATTAAATCATATATTTGAATTGAATAAAAGCAGTTAATTTAGATGTTACTGCATAAAGTTCAGTTTTAGGCTATTTGACAAAAAAATGTTATAGTGTAGATTAGCACAGTGCTTTCAGCTACTTGTGCGTAATTTTTCGCCTGTTATCTGCTACAAGATGTAGATGAGTTTGTTTATTCATTAGAACAGATTTGGATAAATGTATCATTAAATCACTTGCTCACCAAGAATCTTCTGCAGTGAATGGGTGCCGTCAGAATGAGAGTCCAAACAGCTGATAAAAACATCACAAAAATCCAAGTAATCAACATGACTCCAGTCTATTAGTTAAGTGTTGTGAAGTTGAAAGCTGTGTGTTGAAACAAATCCATCATTAAGATATTTTTCATATCAAACTCTTGCCTCTGGCTAAATATGAGACCTCGATCCATAATACAGTTTTCTCTAGTTGTCTCATCTGAATCACAAGAGAAATGTTCACAGATAAAGCACCTTTTACAAGCGAAAACAGTCCAAAGCAGTTTTAAAGAAACATGTATGTCAAATATGGGAGAAGATAACAGTGGATGGACTTGGAGGAAGTGTTATTCTTGGATAACCTGAGAGGAAACTTTTTCAGCAAATTTTTATTTTGGGTGAACTATTCCTTTAAAACATAATTATTTTAAATGATTCAAATAATTTAGATTTACTTAATTTGGGTTGTTGGCTTTTTTAAAACAAAATATCTGATCCTCTTTTGATTGAATTGCTCGATGCAAGTAAATATTAAAGTGCGGTGACAGTAAATGAAGTATAGTTTAGATTTAGCCAGTTTTGAAGGGAGATTGTTGGCTATAATCATCCTAAGAGTGTGATCCTGACAGTTCATTTTCTCCATAGCACACTATAGTCTTCCTGTCACTCTATCATCTAGTGCATTAATGCAAAGGTGTGTGTTGTATCACATTTTATTCCTGAAATGAAGGTGATGTTTAGTCACAAGGTACATTCAGTCTTGGCAAACACACATAGACAGACAGATAGAGAGACAAAGCGATCCTTCCACCTTTATACTAAAACTACATTTCCCTCAGTACATGTGAGCGGAGGTAAAACAGTCAGAACATCCTAAGCTTCCAGCAGAATGAATCAAAAGAGTCTGGCAGGTCACATCACATGTCTGACAGTCTGACGATCTCAGGTCAAGCGTCGACCTGAAGCCCCGTGCTGGAACAGGGCAGGTCTTAAAAAACAGCTTAGAAAAACGCCAATGTGATGTTTTTGTTGTCAGCTCCAATTGATGCACCTCTTCCAGCTGTTCTTCTCTTAATCTACATTTTTGTAATCCTTTTTCTCTCATTGTTTACTTTACAGTGGAATTGTGGGTTCGTATGATCTCCTTGTCCTCCCATAAACCTGTCATCTCTCAGAGTAGAAATAATGGGCCGCACTCTGCATTCTCTAATGCTTCAGGATGATGTCTTAATGAATAGAAAATCTCAGTCTCTCTCGATTCAGATTGAAGTAGCTTTATAATGATAAAAAGGCTTTGTACATTGTACACATTTGTACATGGCATACCCTCTGGCTCTCTGTTTATGTGCATGATTTACATCACAAATACTTTGTACTCTGAAAAAATTGGTATGAAAAATTTTCACTTAGAAATTGTTAGTAAATTTCACAAATAATTACAAAAAGAAATGGCAAGTAACACTGAATTAAATGTGAAATGTTTAACTAGTAAGATGGAAATAGTATTTTCTTCTAAAAATTTAATCTAACTATCTTTGTTTTAATTGCAACTTCAAAAAAATCATTTATTACAGTGTGTGGCCAAAGCATTTGAAGTGTAGATGCGTACAAAAAGTGCAAAATGTATTTAAATGGCTTAAAATATTACGTAGAAAGTAGATATTTGTACTGTTTTTGATCTATTTTTGCTTAATCTAATAATAATAAATCAAATTTGTTGTAAACCAGTTAATTTAGATGTTTCCACATGAAGCTTATATATTTTTAAATATATTTCTTGAAAAAAAGATATAAAAAGAAAAATGTGAAGCATTAGTTCACAAAAGGGATTTTCCCATTTCTCATACTGTGTGTGGGTTGAATTATGGCATGGATTTTCACTGACCAGGGGGCATAGTGTGGCTCTCTCTGTGTGTGTGTGTGTGTGTGTGTGTGTGATACGCATGGCTCAGCAGTACTCTTAGGTAATGCACTGTGGTGTTAGGGCTGATGCTCTCTCTACAGAACCTCAAGCTTTCTCAAATAGACACTGCATAGGGACATAAAGAGACGAGCATAGCACACAAACATACTAATGCAGTGTAGAATACACCCATGAAAGCAGCCTCTCCTTAAGCTGTTTTTGTAAGTCTACAGCTGCTCCCTTTGGAATACAGAAATATTATGAAAATGTTTGTGTGTGTGCATGTTGGAGCGGCTTCTGAAAATGAATGTTTTATGTTTGGCAGTAAACATCTGCTTGGTTGCAAGAATCTTATTGCTTCTTATCAAAGTTGAAACAGTTGTGCTGCTAAATATTTTTGTGGAAACTATGATGAATTATTTTCAGGATTCTTTTACACAGTATGGTACAGTACAGTATGGTCACATGACATTATCATATCATATAGCATATGAGAATGTTTGGTGACCTACCTGTGATCTAATCAGTGTGTCTAATGAGAATACTGATTGTGGTAAAGATTCACCTTAACTAATTTCCAGCTGTTGTGCTGCTGTGAGTCACGAGACGTAATTTCACTATAGAATGAGAAGCGTATTGGGAAGGATTTCTGGTCTGTTGTCACACATGCCCTTATGGTTTTTGAAGCATGAACTGTTATATAACATATCTTTGAATGGTGTGGTATAACTTAGATTTAAATTGACATGCTGATGTGTTGTACTAGTCTGATACACTGACGTTAAGTAAACAAATTTAATTCATACTTGATTGGCACAGTGTATATATATTACAATATTTGATAACAAAATGCGGCAATTGACTAATCATAATCAAGTATTCTAGAGATCCATGTTCTAAATATAAATATTCATCCAACCATAAAGGCATAAAGACACATATAAGCTTCTTTATCCTTTGTCCTTTTCTCTACAATTTTAGCCAGTCTTTTGCAAAATCTCTCATGACTCGTCTAACCTTTATGTCTTATACATTTCTCTCTCTCTCTCTCTCTCCTCATTTACTGTTCTGTCGTTTCCTTTTCTACTCCTTTCCTCATAATTAATGCAGACACTTACAGTCAAGTACTGTGTATAAGTCGATGGGTTTCCTGGGGTTTTGCTTCATTAGTGTCCCTTAATTCTCAGATCATTCTATTTGTTGTTTAGATGTAGAACTAGATATAAGTAAGAAATTTACCATCTATAATAATATCATAATTGTTTTTTTAATGATATGCGAGCTGACAGTATGTCACTCAAAAAAAAAAAAAAAAAACATCTTTA